GTTCTGGGTATTAATTTTTAAGTTGTATTGAGAGGTAACTCACCTGAAGTTACATATTCCAAGAGGGGACATTGGAAAAAACCCTGGCCTGTGTGATAATGTGGTACTTGTTCCTTCAACGTATTAATTAAAGTCTCAAAGCAGCAACAGAAGCCTGGGATGTGGAAGACTGTGTGTGACTCCACTGGGGTCCTTAATCCCCTGGGGGTTTCAGTTAATGATACATTAAAAAAATTATAAATAATGTATCATTTTCCTCTTTTCTTCTTCCAACTCCTTCCATGTATCCCGCTTGCTCTATTACAAATTTATGGTCTCTTCATTACACACACACAATATGTATATATTCCTAAATATGTATCCACAACCTAGGTAGCCCATATAATGTTACTTATATGTGCTTGTATGTATATGATTTTAGGACCGACCACTTGGTATTAGATAACCAATTGGGGGTTGGAAAGTTTTTTGTATAAATCATGGTGTATAAATTAAAAATGGATGAGAAGTCTGTTTTTCTGTTTTCTGAGACGACATTTCAAGTATGTAAGTTGCTGGATTTTTTGTGTGTTCTTGCCCAGCTTCAGTCTTTTTGTTGTGTTCGAATTCCCCGTAGACGATGGTCGCGTTTGACATGGATGGCAAAGTGCGAAAGCCCAAGTTTGAGCTTGATAGTGAGCAAGTCCGGTACGAGCACAGGTTTGCTCCATTCAACAGCGTGATGACGCCGCCGCCAGTGCACTACCTGCAGTTCAAGGTGAGCTTGCTACCTGAGGTCGTGGTGGTGCCACCCATGCTGCAGGCTGTGAGAGAGCCACTAAAGATGACAAGGGGTGGCGGGAGAACGTTAACCTTAATCCTTAGAGTAATTGAGATACGGGGTACACAGGTTAAGAACTAAATGTCACATGGGTACAGACCGAGATGGTCTCAGCATTTGCTTCAGAGTCTGTATGGATGGGCAGTCACGTAGAAGGTTCATAGTAGGGCTGGAGAAATGGCTCAGCGGTTAAGAGCACTGACTGCTCTCCCAGAGGTCCTGAGTTCAATTCCCAGCAACCACATGGTGGCTCACAACCATCTGTAATGGGATCCAATGCCCTCTTCTGGTGTGCCAGTATACTCACATACAAGAAATAAATAAATCTTTAAAAAAAAAAAAAGGTTCATAGTAAACATATTGTGACAGATAGTTCCTTCTTTTTAGGAAATGTCTGACCTCAATAAATACAGCCCTCCTCCTCAGTCTCCAGAGCTGTATGTGGCAGCTAGTAAGCACTTTCAGCAGGCAAAAATGATCCTTGAAAATATCCCCAATCCAGACCGTGAGGTAAGAGTGGATTCACTGTACTTCCAGGGGACACGCTTGGGGAAGCATACATCCTGCCACTGGGGGATGTTAACTGTAGTGAGTCAACCAGACAGCACTGTCAGATTGCAAGAATTTCAAGTAGGTCTGCCAGCTTAATCATTTTAAGTCTACCCTCCACCCATAGGGCCTCACTCTTTTGTACAGGCTGGCCTCTCAACTCCTGGTAATCCTCTTGCCCTCTGCCTCCCTGGTGTTAGGAATAGGTCATGATCTATAATACCCAGCTTCTATTATAAATTTTAAATATGAAAAAATTATGTATCCAGTTACTATAGAACATTCCATCCTTGACCATTTTGAAGTAGAAAGTTGTTTCATTAAAAGACTGATCTATAAGAACAAACTTTGAAAACAAACATGGTTTAAGTATTTGATGGTTTAATAGTTTGCACTATCCCTAGTGTAACAGATAAATCTACTCTGTTAGCATAGGAGCTACTCTTGCCGTGTCTAAGTCATTGAGGGAGCTCTTGATGCACTTCTCAGTGCAGAGTAATTTAGCATCATCTGTCAGAATCAAGCAGTGCTGGGCTCAGATGAGTGTGCTTGCCTGTCACACAAAGCCTGGGGTGTCCTAGTACTGCAGAAGAACACAT